AGATTAAAAAATATTAGAATTTATATTCATAATATATATTATTGTGATCTGTGCCTGGTAATCTTTGAAGTCATCTGTAGTAAAATTATTTACTAAGGTGGTTTTAAAAATAATAATAAAGAAAAAAAATACTTAAGCCTTATATGGAGCGATTTTCTTTCCTGCAACCAGCCGACCCTGCAGGGAGAACACAGTGATTACTGCTAACGGTGATCGATCAACTTGGATACATGCAGCCTGCTCATACATGGTTCGAATCTTGGCCAGTCCCTTGCCGTCTATGGCTGGCTTTACTCTGCCTCAGCTTCTGATTCTTTACTGTACCTCACTGCTTCCTCCTTGGAAAGCTGAGGGCTCCAAAATAATGCAAGGGTCCATTCTCACAAGTTTTTGATGTGAACCCTGTCACCCAGAAGCACTGCAAACCAGGGTGGAGGTAAGTATTCTTTCTTTTTCTTGCATTAGCTTAAATTTAAATGCCTTTGCATGCTATTTGACTTTAGGTGGTGGGGGGTTTCACATTTTCATGCTTTAAAACTGGTACAGAAAGAAATAATCCCCAGGTGTCTTTTGGTCACATACTACACATATATGCTAACACACTGTAATAAAAATCCGTATTTAATAAGGTTTACTAAAATACTGCAAATACAAACTAGAACCATTGTTGCATGCACTTTATTGAGGTGGATTAAGCACCTATCTTGTTGCTAATTGAAGTTCCTGCATTGATTGCACAGATTACAGATGGACTACAAATAATACATTGTTATACCTCTCTCCATCTCCTTTTTACTTTAATGCATTCCATGCATAAAAAAAAGCCTCACCACCTGTTCTACTCCCCTGCTCCTAAACATGAATATGGGTGCCCCTTAGCACCCAGCTTGCTAAGGAGGCACCTAGGGAGGGAGGATTGGACAGTGCCAATGGGGGGACTGTCAAAGAGGAGGTAAGGGACTGCTTTGTGCATCATCATTGCACAGAGCTGGTAAGTATAGTATCTTTTTTTTACGTTAAAACAAATCTTTTTATATCACTTTGAGGTTTATTCTGAACACAAGTTCAGGCCAAACTTTGGCTGTTTGGATGTTCTTCTGAATGTTGGACTTTTAGCCTGTTCGAACGGAGCTGAACATCATACAGTACATAGTACTATTATTTCTACTGCTATAATATATGGAGCTTCCTATCTATCAGTGGTTGCTGAGGCATCTGCTACTTCCTTAGCACCCAGTGACATGACCTGACCCCATTTATTTACTGGCCGTGATCATGTAATCAAAGGGTGGTGATAACATGACATCACTGACCAAATATGACCATATTGCCATATTTGGCCGATGACTGACGAAAAATGGCCATGGAGTTACCCAGGAGACCCTGCCCCTTTCTTTCCTTCAGCTGTGGAGCATGAGATATGTCATTTGACATGACACAGATGGGACTGGACATGTCTGCTGGTCAGTGGCATTTTAATTCTTTCAGTAGAGGTCATTCATTGTAATTGGAGTGGATCTGCATCACTAAAAGATGCGACTGATAATGAATGTACATTGTGAGATTTTTTTTTTTTTTTTTTTTTTTAAATAAAAGGACTTGTCAAAGACAGTGTAAATGTCTTCATTTACTATCATTTCCGCCCCTTACACATAGTAATAGAGGGGCAGTATCTGTGTGCCCCCTTATTGTTAAAGGGGACTTTCTGATTAAAAAAAAAAGATACTTTTTGAATAATGCATATTGACCACTCTGGATGTGCATTTTGTGCAGGACTAAGATTAAGGAATGACCTTTTTGCACAATTTTTTTTGTGTTAGTCAATATATTATTTGTGCTACTTTTCAACTTATTTTGAGTTACCTCAATATTTTAAGAATGTAGTTTGTATTTAATTTAGTGAACCTTAATTAGGTTACTGAACCTTAATAAATAGTGCTTTATTATAACTCGGTGGCACAGTTCTGCGCAGTCAATACACCTAGAGATTCAAATCTTTCTGTATTCTTGCTGATATTACTGGTGCAGATATAAGAACAGGTTTATTATTGTCTTTGGAACAATGCACACAGTTGCATAAAGATCTGTAATGCAGTGATACATTCAGAGCAGTACACAAAAAAATAAACGTTTATATTTGAGTGCAGTAATTTACATGCATACACAAGTACATATGAGTGTAAATGCGTAAATTGAAATACTGCCAGCAAGAAGAGGTTAAAGAAGATATTTAGGTGGTATACGCATATACTGTATATATATTTATATGCAAGGCCTCTATGGAAAATGACTTGAGTTATTTTTCTCAGGATCTTTTTGCCAGCTTTTGCTGAAAAGATCCTGTGTATAAACATCAATTAAATGATAATGTTCTTGTACAAGAGGCCATAAATGAGCTTTTAAACAAGTCATCACTGACCTCCCTAGCCACAGGTACTATGAATTAATGAATGCTTAAAGATCACAACAAAGACTCTAAAGTCAGTTTCTAACAGCTTACAGCAATTGCTATGTGTTCGCACAAGAAAACTGGTAGGCTACCAAGATTCTGCAGCAAAATTAAGTAAAGGGGAAAGGGTTTGTTATTCAGTGCCTCTGTTATGACCTTTGAAGATGTATTTTCTCCACAATGCCTATAGCTACAGATGTGAATGAGGGTTTATTTAAAGTTTTTTGCTGCTTGTTTAGAACATGTAATTACTTTAATAGAAGCCGTCTGGTCCCAGGTTCACTGTAAGATGGTATATGTTTTTTGGTATGTTTTTGTTCATTGATGCGTGTTTTAAAGCGCATCAAAATGCATGAGTTTTGCATCTGTCCGCTATACAGAATACTGAATACTGTCAGCTATACAAAATCTGTCAGGTATACAGAATATGGCTTTAAAGCAGTGAAACACTAAATATGCATTTTACTCCAGTACCATTTTATGATACCTACCTGCACACTGATATATTGATATTTATGGGCTTAATTGATTTATATGCCAATTCTGTAATTGCTGTGGTTTCTAAACTTAAACCTGAACTTCAGGAACAAAAACTTTCATAGTCTTCAATAGCTACAAAGTATTTATATATTCACTATGTGTGCACCAATTGCTATTACAACAGATATTACCTTGTAAAAGTAGCAGTGATATCATCACTGTGTTGTACATACAGCAGAGGTGTAGGAGGGGTCCAGCAGCTGCTCCTACTACAGGCTGCATGGAGAGAGAGAGAGAGAAAGAGAGAGCGCAGCAGCGACCTGTCTTTATTTCGGGAGGCTCCAGCACAGAGGCAAAGTTTCCCACTGAAATACTGCATAGATTTGGAACAAATACATAAAGCACACCAATGTTCAAATAAGAATACACATGACTCTTGTATGTACAAATATTTGCTTATCCCACCTTTAAAATGTATTTCCATTATTGCAATTGAATTTAACCCATTGGTGCTGGCACCTCCTGGCCTTTTAAAGGGTTTGGGACGCCAGGAGGCGAGGCGGGGTTTAGGGTCATGTGCCCACCGTGATTGGCTGTCACAGTGGTCACATGATCGAAAAGGTCCCGATCGCAAGTAGTGATCAGGACCTTTCCATGAGGCATCGGTAAATGTGCTGGAGTGCACATGGGGCACACTCTAGGCACGCTTCTTTACTTTTGGTACGCAAATATGCGGCCACTTGGCATCAAGACCCAGCCACTGAGAGGCCATATATTTGTGCACTGTCGGCATCAATAGGTTAAGAAAAGCTCAACTATATGTTTGCATATAGTTCCCATTCACACAGCATATCTAAAAATAAAATGTAAAAAAAAAAATATATATATATACACACACACACACATACACATACATACACACACACACATACACACATATATATACAAAACACTATATTGCCAAAAGTATTGCACGTTTGCCTGTAAACACACACACATGAACTTTAATGGCATCCCAGTCTTAGGTCATAGGGTCAAATATTGAGTTGTCCCACCCCAAAAAAACAATGAAAGAAATATACAGAGGCCACAAACCTGGCACCCAGCTGGTCACGCAGGACTATGAAACATACCCCCTGCATATAACTAATTCCCTCTGCTCATCCTACCCATTCTTCCCCCCCCAATAGGAATTTGTTTAACCTTAACATATATCTACACTATATTCAAAAGTATTGGGACACCTGCCTTTACATGCACATGAACTTTAACGGCATCCCAGCCTTAGTCCGTAGGGTTCAAATTTGAGTTGGCCCACCCTTTGCAGCTATAACAGCTTCAACTCTTCTGGGAAGGTTGTCCACAAGGTTTAGGAGTGTGTCTATGGGATGGTTGACCATTCTTCCAGAAGCACATTTGTGAGCTCAGGCACTTATGTTGAACAAGAAGGCCTGACTCGCAGTCTCCGCTCTTATTCACCCCAATAAAGTTCCTCCACCCCAGACTCGCTCATCAATGTTTTTATGGACCTTGCTTTTTGCACTGAGGCTCAGTCATGTTGGAACAGGAAGAGGCCATCCCCAAACTGTTCCCATGAAATTGTCCAAAATGTCTCTTGGTATGTTGACGCCTTAAGAGTTCCCTTCATTGGAACTAAGGGGCCAAGCGCAAACGCTTACAAACAATTCCACACCATAACCCTACCTCCACCAAACTTTTACACTTGGCACAATGTAGTCAGGCAAGTATCGTTCTCCTGGCAACTGCCAAACCCAGACACATCCATCATATTGCTAGACAGAGAAGCATGATTCATCACTCCAGAGAACACGTCTCCACTGCTCTAGAGTCCAGTGGCTGCGTGCTTTACACCACTGCATCTGACACTTTGCAATGCACTTGGTGATGTAAGGCTTGGATGCATCTGCTTGGCCATGGAAACCCATTCCATAAAGCTCTCTACGCACTGTTGCGCTTATCTGAAGTCCACACGCAGTTTGGAGGTCTTTAGCTATTGACAGACAGTTGGCGAAATCTGCGCACTGTGCGCTTCAGCCTGCGCTGACCTCACTCTGTCATTTTACGTGGCCTACCCCTTCGTGGCTGAGTTGCTGTTGTTCCCAGTTGCTTCCACTTTGTTATAATACCACTAACCGTTGACGATGGAATATTTAGTAGAAAATAAATTTCACAGATGAACCTAATACACTTAATGCAACCTATCACGGTACCACGCTTGAATTCACTGAGCTCCTGAGAGTGACCCATTCTTTCACAAATGTTTGTAGAAGCAGTCTGCATGCATAGGTGCTTGTTTTTGTTTTACACCTGTGGCCATGGAGGTGATTGGAAGACCTGAATCCAATATCCAATGATTTGGAAAGGTGTCCCAATACTTTTGGCAATATAGTGTGTGTGTGGTATATATATATATATATATATATATATATATATATATATATATATATATATATATATATATATATATAGACATACACACACACACAAATATGTATGTATATATTTCTTACCTCTCTATGTGTGTATTTGGAGCAGGCCTTGGGCAGACAGCAAGCTACTCTGGACAATTTAAATTAAGAGGAAACGCAGTCTGTCGCCTTTGACAAAGGAGGATACACTGGGGTTGATTTACTAAAACTGGAGAGTGCAAAATCTGGTGCAACTGTGTATGGTAGTCAATCAGCTTACAACTTCTGCTTGTTTGAAGCTTTGACAAAAAAAAAAAAAAAAAAACTGGAAGATGACTGGTTTCTGTGCAGACCTGCAGCAGATTTTGCACACTCCAATTTTAGTAAATCAACTCCACTGAGTTTCCCCTCATTACCATACAATTCAGACGCTTGGCTTCTAGATCTTTAACTCTTTGTTGGGACAGACAGTGTTCAAATCTAGCTTACAACTGATAATGAAATCTGGCAGCTCAGTACAGATGGAATTGTTTAATGTTTGTCCCCATACCCTCACCTAAACCATTCCACCTTCACCCTCAAGATTCACACATACAGAGATCTGTCGCTTGCAGCCTTTGGGGATTGTTTACATCTTCCACTGCAGCACTGTCCCTGCTGGCTGCACTTGTGCATTACATTTCCATAGACTTAGCTGGAAGATAGACTTCGATGAGTGTGGCAGGGAGATGGAGACTTGGTAAGTAGGACTTGTGGCAAGTGAGAGTTGGCCCGTTTAGGTAAAAAAATTTCTTTGGAAGTACACTTATTTGTAAGTATAGTATGCTCTGCAGTAGTCTGTTTTGGGGTAGTTGGCCAGATTTCCTGTAGCCAGCAGAGGATGGTGTTCAGGTTGTGTGTCTACAGAAGAGCAACAGCCTCTTTTGTTTTAAAATTGAGAAACAGTAGCCAAGGGGGCATGTGGAATGTGTTGACCTCAGTTACTTTTCCATTAGTTGTTTTTTTTTTTATAGTTTCAGTTACTTTATGGCAATACCTTACTTGTAGAAGTATATCTTCAGAAGATTCTTGCGGACATTAAGGACATTAACAGTGTTAAAATGAGAAGGATTTATCTTGCAGTATAATTCACTTGCACATTATCTGCACTCTTGTTTGGCTCTTCAAGCTTAGCTAAAAAGCCTTGGGGCAAACCATGCAAGGTCTCAGATTAAAATGATAAATGAACGACAAACCAGAGGTTTCTGATAAATTATTCCATTATTTCTATGTGGCTGATCTTGTGGACATGTTAAAACATCATGTTGAGAGATGTCCATATTTCTCCTGCATATCAACTGTCTTGATTTTACTGACACAGAATTGTTATAGCTTCCAAAAGTCGAATCAGGTTTTTGACAGCACAAGTATATGTAAACTTAACCTCCCTGGCGGTATGATTATTTCAGATTTTTGGTGCTGAAAGCAGTACCATTATTTTGCATGGAAATATGTAGTTTTTTTTATTGTAGGCTGTAATATTTAGGAATAACTCACTGAAATCTGTCCGAACAAGAGTCTATTAAACATCCCGGGGTATGATAAAATTTGAAACACAAAATCATAAATTATAATTTAATAAATAATCATAAAAAATAATAATATAATAATAATACATTTAATTCAATAATATAATCAAACCAAAAACACTGAAATTTTAAATATAGCGCCATAATAAGTTCACACATTGCTGAGCAAAGTCGCAAAATCGTTTTCAGTGTCTGATGACGAATTTCCCACAAATCATTATCACTCAATTCTGCAAGTGGTTCTGATTTACTATCGCTTTTCTCTAGCTGATCTAAACCGCTTTTGACCTAAAGGGACACTTTTTGGACGCCATGGACTTTTCTCAGTTTCCAGGCAGAAAGAACAGACAAAATGCAGGCAGGGCGCAGGGCAAAGCACTAGGGACAAAATGTATGTGAAATTGGTTGAGACAGCAATGTTTTACTATGTAAAATGTAAAAAAAAAAAAATGACATTATTTAAAATTTTTAAATTTCCCGCCGCGGCGGCGCGCCCGTACGTTCCGACGTCACAGGGACAGGACACAGAAGCCGGATGCCGGCATCGGCCGAAGGAGATGGCCGGGGACGCTGCAGGGGACACATCGTGGGAGCGCAGGGTAAGGTAAGTGAAGAACAAATGCCGGAGCAGTGCCGCATGGTAAGCCCAAGTGTAGCTCGGGGTTACCGCTCTTGGTACTGAAATGTTACCCTGAGCTACACTCGGGAATACCGCCAAGGAGGTTAAAAAAAAAATTTTCATTATGTTTGAAATCATGCCTCTCTGTATACATGTATTTTCTTAAGCAAATAATATTTTGTGAATCTTTTGCAAAATTTCTTACCTGAAGATCTAGTAATGGCACGTCCTGTTGCAGGCTAACACCATATGCCCTTGCTGTCAATTAACATCAGTGTTGTCAGCCTGCCATGCAAGCTTCTTAAAGAATAGGTGCACTTTCAGACAAAGTGCACTTATCCTCTTTGCCCCCATATGTTGACCTAACAGATCCCACCTTCCTCCTCCACAGATTCATCATTTCTGAGATCTGATGCCCGCAGCCCCCTATGTTTTGTTCACATTCAGTGCCAAAACACCTTTCTCTCAGTAGAGGTTACAAGTGTCAGATTTTAGTAAAGAAACCCAAAAAAATCCCTCGTGTCACAGGTGTATCCATCCTCTGACCATGGCTGTATGGAAACATCACACACAGGAGACTCTGCTGCGCCCGGACAGATCGCTTGTTGTGAAGAATTTTGTAGACACATTGCCACTCTCTGTGGTTATTTATGGATGCAGTTTTACATTGGGATCATGTGAGTGTAATATTTTGTTTTTACGGCTATCTATTAAACGTTTTATTGCACTAGGTTGGCTTCCCTTTTTGTGGTTTTTGTCAGATTTTAGCAAGGGAGGGTGAAATCTGTTCGGTTGGCGAAGGGGAGCAAAAAGAATAACTGCGCTGTCTAAAAGTGTACTTATTCTTAATGCTTGCCTTTAGGCTGCCTATGTGATAATCAGGATGGGCAGCTCAAAGGCCAAATAAAGGAGCGCACACAGCAGGCTAACTGTGCTAATGTACAGTAGAGGCAGTGGCTGGGCTCTGTTAGCCTCTAACAAAAAATGCTGTTGCTAGTAGGCTCTCCAGGTAAGAAATTCTGCAAGAGTCCCAAAAAATTATTTTCTTGAAGGGAATCCATGGCCACAGCATACACTTTAATTTTATAATATCGGCATTGTAATATTAACACAAACAATAGTTATTTTTGACAATCTGATATAAACTTAATAAAAATCTCCTTTCATGCTGTGAGTTTTGCCTGTCTGCTGACCATCTCTTTCCTCAAATTTCTGGATTCCTTAACAAGTGTTCAAATTAATAGGAGCAGGCTAGAAATAATTGAAAACACAATGTAGAATGAATATATGATTTTTTTACATTTTGACCACAGATACACTAAGAAAACTGTATACAGTGGGACATTATGTTATACATACTGAAAAATAGATTTTTGGGTTTACATACACTTTAAAGGAAAAATAGGGCCAAAGCTTTTGACCTTACTTCTCCTGTGGGTCACAGGAATTCACTTTGTTCTGCCAGCACAGTGGCTAAATGGTTAGCACTTCCGCCTGGCAGTACTAGGGTCGTTGGTTCAAATCCTAACCACGGCACCACCTGCCTGGAGTTTGCATGTTCTCCCTGTGCCTGCATGGGTTTCCTCCGGCTACTCGGGTTTCCTCCCACACTCCAAAGACATGCTGGTAGGTGAATTGGATCCTGTCTAAATTGGCCCTAGTATGTGTATGTATGAATGTGAGTTAGGGATCTTAGATTGTATGCTCCTTGAGGGTTAGGGACTGATGTGAATGTACAATATATATGTAAAAGCGCTGCGTAAATTGATGGCGCTATATAAGTACCTGAAATAAATACTTCTGTGACACATATTCAGCTGACATCACTGATCTGGTCTAGGCTCCGGAGAGATCCTGACTTTAATCCACCCAGATTCCTAACTGGCAACTGGTTCAGCCTGTCAGAAAGCAGTTGAGAGCCTGAGTCAGCCACTTCTGCCCTTTACACAGTATGGTGCACTAGTGAGAGCTGTATTGGCAGAGCGGAGAGCCAGTGACTGACAGTAACCAGCTCTCTGCTTACTAAAGACCAAGACTCAAGTGATCAGTAGACTGTGAATGATCAGTTCAAAGTCTTTGAGGTGGCAGTGGACAGATACAGCATCACTGATGCTGCATGCACATAGGTATGTGTTTTTTTTTATTCCCATACTTCTTTTTTAAATTAACTTTGGTGGCATTGTGCAGGTATAGTGGAATAGTGTGTGATTTATCTGCACACCCTTAAACATGCCTGTATTAATTTCCTACAAGAAGGAGTCAGAAAAGATGTGCCATAAATTAATATTGCTTTTCTTGCCAATTGCTGCCATCTGTGTATACTGTGAGTGTCTTCTCTCTTTCTCTAAAAGGAAAAATAGTGCAGGGAAAATTTGAGGAGGAGCTCAGTGAAGCATTAGGTCAGGATGTACCTAGACCTACAACACTACCGCCTGCCGGATCTGTACGTAGATGGTTTTGGACCAATGAACACGTTTGTGTTTTGCTTCTGACATTGATTTGTGATGAATTTTTGTTATGTGGAAATAAGTGTTTGAGTTATGATTTGGATGTTATGGAGCAGTGCATACTTGCTCTTATCGTTGCTTTTGCCTTTAAACTCATCACTTGTCCTTTATAAGTCAATGCAAATGCATCTTATACACACTTTACTAATCCCAAACTGACCCTGAGACAGCTTCAAAT